CTTACTTTGTAGGTGAGCTGCTCCGAGCCCACCGAGGGGGCGCCCACGGCCAGGTCGGGCACCCCGTCCTGGTTGAAGTCCAGCACGGCCAAGGCGGAGCCAAAGCGGCCTGAGGGCTGAGAGGCAGGGTGAGTCCCGGGTTCAGCCTCAGCACAGACAGCCCTCCCCTGTCCCAGGGTGGGTAGGACAGGCCCGGGGCCACTGTCACCCAAGGGCTCAGGACAGAACTGCAGGGTCCCACACGTAACACCCGGGACACACAGCAGCCAGTCAATGACTCTCATCATTGATGTTTCTCTCTCTCTCTGTCTCCCTTCCTCTCTCTGAAGTCAATAAAAACATAAAATTTTAGAAACTAAAGGACTTAGACGTGCTTTCTTGGAAAGTGCTACACGATGTCAGCCACTGACTGTCACTCACTATTCCTGTCACTGCCCTTCATCCTGAAACCTGGCCAAGAGGCAGGCAGTGGTCACTGACAGGACACGTGAGCAGGTGCCTCACCTGGAAGCCCTCCAGGACCTCGTGGGCCTCTTCCTCCAGGTCCAGGTCAATGGGTGGCAGGCCCAGGTCATTGCCATAGATGAGGTAGACACAGCCCACGTGGACGTGGCCGGGGCGGCTGTAGCCTGGGGCACCCACCACCAGGTCCCCGTGCCCATCCTGGTTGAGGTCGGCCGAGGTCATGGCCCTGCAGTGACAAAGAGGGAGCCTGTCGCAGTGTCTGCTGAGACCCGGGGAGACTGTCCCCTCCTCCTCTCTGGAGTCAGCACTTAAACTTCCTCTCTGTTTTCAAGCTAGAAAAACTCCCACCTACCAGCCCAGCCTTGCATAGGGACGCGACAGGAAGTAGGACGCCAGGGGACTGGACACGTGCTTCTGTGGCCGCTGGGAGCTGCCCGTGAAGATCATCCGCAGGTTCCTCTCCAGGGTCTGGTACATGAAGGACAGGGAGTCCTGGAATACAGGTGACGGACAGGTGAGCCCAGGTACACGGAGGACGGGGGTCCTGGAATACAGGTGACGGACAGGTGATGCATTATATTCGTATGCATCTCCTTTTATGAGAGAGAATTTGGGGAACAAGCAACCCCCAGTGTGGGGTGATGAACTGTCCTTCACATGGTCACTGCAGAGACACAGGCACAGACTGGAGCGGCCTGGAGTGGCTGGTCCCTCTGGCGGGCCAAGGACCCAGGTGACTTTCACTGAATGTCACACAGCCAGGGACCCCACAGAACAGGGACCACAGGACGCAACAGGGTCCTTTCCCACGAGAGGCGGAAAACTTACCGAGGTCCAGGAGTCCACACTGAAGACCACCCCTCGCTCGGTATATTTTATGTTTTTCCCAGAGTCTTTGGTGAGGGATGTGGTAAGATTTCTATGGAAACCAATTTTCTGCACCTTTGAGCTGCTGAAAAGAGGGAACAGACTGGCTAAGACTCAGAAAACAAACAACGGAGCTGAAGAATAGTGTCGAGTTCATCCCAGGTTAAAACCCCCCCGAGTTTAACTTCTGAGAGTTGAAGGAACAAAACTTTAGAAAAACCCTCATAGGAGGTTGCAGAGGACCTTAGTCAACACATTTCCACGGCTTAAAAGCCCGTCCTCTGAAAAATGCCTCCCACAGCCTCCAAGTTCTGGAGCGTAAAGGGCCCCAATTCCTTCCAGAAACTGAGAGCAAAGGCGTCTGAGCTTCCCGCACGCGGCCCAGAGCAGTCAGGCCGCGCCACGTCCTCGGCTCTGCCTCGCTGTCACCGCTCCTCAGGGTGGCGTCTGGGTCGCGTTCGTGAGTGGTGACAACAGTAACAATATTTCTAAACCACTGGCTACCGCGTGACGTTCGCCGAGCGGACCCCTCTCGGGCCCGGCCCAGCCCACGCTTCTGCTTGAAAACCACGCAGCCGTGAGCGCAGACCCGGCACCTGAACCGCCGTCTGCGCGTCCACAGTTCACACCTTCCCGGTCCGCCCAGCGCCCTCGGAGGAGCTCCTGCCGCGGTGAGCAGGTCGGGGCACTTACCCCTGGAAGCTGGTGTGCTGGCCGCCGCAGGCGATGAACAGGGGGTTCTCGGGCAGGCTGCAGTCACTGGGGGACAGGCAGGCAGAGGAGCTGACGGGGGTCCCCATGGTCGCCCAGACTCAGAGCCGCCCTGTCCCTCCCCCTGCACTGCTGAGCTGTCCCCGCTCAGACTCAGGCGAAGGGCTGAGGGCTGTTTCTAAGCAAAGAGGATTTGCGTGGAGCTCACGCAGGTGCCCGGGACGGGGCAGGTCGTGTGGGGCCGGCCGAGCAGTAATAGGTGCGGAAAGGAACTCAGGACGGGACGTGGGAAGAACCTGAACACAGATTCTTCCTGTACGGACCTCCCCGGGGCCAGCCTCACGCCGAGGAGGGCCTGTCCCAGAGTCCCCGTTTCCCCGCCCAGGAGGGACAGTCCTCACAGCAAGCGCTACAGTGACGAGTGCCCCTGGCAAGCTGAGTTCTGGCCAAAACTGTAACTACCATCATTTCACTGTTTCTTTAGGAAAATACACTGTAACTTTCAAGTAACATGAGTTTCGTTTGGAGAGAGTCTATTCTCAGTGCCTGTCATGTGAAAACATGTACATTTTTCCTTTGTTCATAGAGTGTGTGTCTTTCTCTGGAGCCTTCTCCAAATTTCCCATAAAGTTCCATAGATTCTAATGAATAGTTCTCTGTGTGTGTAACATGCAAGCAATTTAAGAAATTTCTGCTTTGATGAGTCAGGACAGGGATGGAGAGGCGAGAAGCCTCCTCCTGCTGGTTGGCTCAGGGTGGAGCCTCGACCTACGGTCCCCAAGGTCGCAGTTCCACCGGTCAGGGCTCAGGCCCGGGTTGCGGGCTCCTCGGCCCCAGCAGGGGGCGTGCGGGAGGCAGCCGGTCAGTGGCTCATCACTGACCTTTCTCTCTCCCTGCCCCTTCCTCTCTCTGAAAGCAATAAAGACATATATATATATATATATTTTTAAAACTCTCTCCCTTCTCCATTATTTTCTCCTAAACAATAAGGTCCAGTCGCGTGTTTCCTTAGCATCTGGACAATCTAACCAAAAGCTAACACCAGAAATGTCCCAGTCTGGGGATCATTACACTGGACTTTGTAAGACAGACACACGCGGGCCATTCCCGCTCACACGGCCACGTGTTATGAACCCTCCGGAGTAAACTGAACCCCTTCTAACAGCACCAGAGCCACAGGGACGAAGCGCTCACCGCACGCTGACCACTCTCGGGGCACCTCCGGCCTCCTCACGGCAGCCCTGACGGGGGTGAACTCCTGCTGTCCCACCCGCAGAGGGGAAGGCAGAGCTGGGGGGCTCGGGGACCCCTGCTTCTCTGCTCCGCGGAAAACCCGAGCGGTCGGCTGGGGACGGGGGCGAGGCCGAGCTCACCTGGTCCCGTTCTCAAGCATGTAGCTGGTGAGACGGTAAATGTTGGTGGACCAGAAGGCCATGTCGTCCAGCCCCCCGAGGAAATATTCCTGGAACTGCTCCACCAGGAACGGGGACTTCCTGGAGTAGGTGGGGTACAGCTGTGCAGAGAGAGGCACGTGAGCAACCAGGCGCCCGGGGCCGCAGCCTTCACGGGACGGGCTCGAGGGACGGGGCCTTTACCTTGGAAACCGCCAGCACCTCGCCATACCTGCAACACAAGGGTTTCACCGTGAGCCGCGGCTTCCGCAGGAACGACGCAGACGGGGAGAAGCTGCCGCAACGGGAACCGAGGCTCAGGAGACCGCCCCGAATCAGCTAAACCCAAAGCCCAGAGCCCAGAGCCCACACCGGGCTCAGAAGCCACGCCATGCGGGCCGCGCTCACATTTCCAGGAACTGCAGGTACGAACACTCCACAATCGTCTTCTTGGTGACGGCCGCGTGGCCATAGAGCTTCTCGTAAATCCCCAGCAGGTCTGCGACGGGCACGTACCTGGGGAGCATTAGCGTCAAGCCCGAGCTGTGCGGCTCTGCAGCGGAAGGTGACGGTAACGAGGCGACGCTGGCTGCCCCGTCCCGGGAGCCCTGTCCCCGGCCCGCGGAGGGTGCGCCTG